AGACAGCCTCTCGACAATATGCGTTTTTGCTGGCTGTAGCGCTGCACAGCAAAAACGCATAAAAAGTAAGATGGTTGGAAAAAATTAGGTTTTCTTGACAAGCAGCTGCAGAAGAAAAATTTGCAAGGCAGGAGAAATGTGAACAGTAAGTGTTCGCTTTTGAAAAGGCTACGAATGATAGCGCAACTATTTATTTTTCTTAAATGTTTATAAATTCTGTTTGGCCGACGTGGGAGGTCAGTTGCACGGACTGGCAATTTCAAGCGCGCAACTGAAATTCTATATTTTCTTGAGAATTTTTCAACTGCAACGTTGAGAATGCAGGAAAGCAGTTTTTGTATCATCCTTGTCAGCAGGTGGAAACGATGGGGAAGGAGCATGTGCAGCGAAATAGTAAATACGTAGCGGTCAGCAGGCGGATTTGTGATAGATACGCGTGTTTTCCATGACAAATATGCACTGCTTCCCCAGTTCACCCCTGTGCACAATCAGTGAAAGGCAGTCGAGATTTTGAAAGAGTACGCGAACTCACCTACGCAAACGCCAATGTCTTCTTGATTCGACTGCGGTTGGCAGATATCCGGATATCGGCAGGAACCGACTGCCGCACCACACGGTTCTCCCACATTCCGCAAGCATACCATGCAGCAGCCGCATGGATCGAGCGTTAGCTCGGAGCATTCCAGCGATTCTGGATCCTTACAAAAATCAGGGCATTTTGCTGCGCAAAGTTTAGCGAGGCCGTCGAGGATGAATTGTTCTTGCGCTGGAAATGGCGCGTTCTTGCTAACAGCAGTCGTGCCTGCCGCGAACTCCAACAGAAATATAGCGATAGCAGAAAGAAAGAGGAGGAAGCGGGAACTCCGGATTAACCCGATGTCCGGGAGCGTCCGGAGCACCGTTCGCCCTATCATCACTATCACAGTCGTAGCTGTCGTCGGCAAGAAGCAGATAGGTGTGAGGGTGATCGCAGAAATAAATGTGTATACGTAGCAAGCTATCAATCCGTGATGTCGCGCCGGTGGTCGTCGTTTTGATGCTTTCTCACACACAGCAACAAAAATATTTGCCAATGAATCATTTTTTGGCTGATTTTATATATGTGCTAAATAATTTTGTGCAGTAGGAGAGGAGGGAGGGATCTGGTAAAATGGCTTCCTGATTTCTTGTATGATTAGGATGTCTCGCTTGAGCCCGGGACGGAGACGTGGGCGGGCACAGCACAGGCGCGCTGCTTCGGAATTCCGGTGCTTTCGATAGTGCCACCTCACCGCTTCTGCCACTCGCTTTGCGAGATGCGCAAGCACTGACGTCGCATCTTTGAATTTGTCACAAAAACTGCGTTATCTGTTTCACAGCAGGTCGACAACTCTCAGTGCGCTGCTTGACGTCGGTCGCTTTCAGGGAGAAGCTGCTCTGCCCCGGCCAGGAGCGCAGTGACATTGGCGGCACGCTGCTGAAATTTCTGCCGCTGCTCCTCCCAATGCCTGCTGGTTTTATCCAGCATGTGGATGATTTTCGAATTGTATGTAGAAAAAAGTTTCATGTTGCGAAATGGATTTTTACTGCTTCTGAGGTCGGAATTTTCGGATAAAAGTATAACAACTTAGAAGTATTTCGCCATGACAATGGTAACAGTATCCAGAAAGCACGTATCGCGTGTGGTACGCCAGAAAAAACTAATAGTAGCTGAAGTTAATACGCCTCAAAAAGTAGTAATAGTGTTAGTAATTGTTGTTGGCGTTGCTGTTACTGATGTCGTTGTTGTTATTGCCAATGCTATTGTTGTTGTTCGTGTTGTAGGAGAAAGAATTATGCAAATCGTCGGACAGTGGAGCTTTATGACGAGCTAATTTTGAAACGCTATTAGGAAGCTGGGTGCAGAAAACGCAGAGAAATTCTTTGAGATGCGAGGGGTTTATTAGTGGGACGTGAAATGAGGGGTTTACGTTGGCATCCGCAGCTAGTGCTGTCAGTAAGGGACGTTCGGGAAACAAGCACAAGTGAGACGCAGGCCGATGAAGTATCTGTGAACACAGCAAAGCAATCAAGCATAGTAGCAGAACCAGTACCATCGTCTTCAAAACTAGACCTAACCCCGAGAAGGAGGAGGAGAGCATTCTTCCACCTAGTGAACTGTCAACCCCCTCCCTCCACCCTCGCACCATTCCCTCCTCCTCCTCCCTCTCCCACTTCGTTCTTATTCGCATATAACGGTGTCTCCTAAGCAGCAGGCACCTGTACAGGATATCAAGGAATATGGCCATCAGATGGGGTGTCCCTCGTATGGTATGCATTCCTCCTACCTTTCCATTATCGCCTAATTATGCGTTTTTGCATGTATGCGAATTGCAAAAGCGCACATTGGGAAGAGGCTGTGTGTGTGTGTGTCTGTGTGTCCGCACTTTTTGTCACCCACTTTCAACTCGAGAACCAGAAAAGCTATAAGGCTGAAACTTTGGGAGTATGCGCCCATACCATCCGCGATCCTCCCGTTTTTTAATATCATCCCCCGCGGACGCCTGGGTGCCGCGTACGGACGCTTTTAAAAAATATGCAAATTTTTTGGCGGGGAAGCGACCTCGGCAATCAGACAAGATAAGGGGCTGAAACTTTGCAGGGATGTTCCCTGTGCATGCATTAGCTAAGGATTTCAAATTCAGCCCCCAAATGCGTGTGGTACTCACGCAAGAATGTGTGAAGTTCTGGCGGGAAAACTGCTAACTCGGAAACCAGGAAAGCTAGAAGGCTAAAATTTTGGGGTAATGTATCCTGTCCAAGTACAACTTAAATATTTCAAATCCAGCCCTCAGGTATGCGTGGGTCTTACATATGAGCACGTGAAAAATTTGTTGGGAGAATTGTTAAATTGGCAACCAGAAAAGCTGGAAGGCTAGAATTTTAAGGGCTGGAATTCCTTGTCCACATGCAATTTAAAAATTTCAAATTTAGCTTCCCAAGCGCGTGGAACACCCGTGTACGGGGATGTGAAAGCTTTGACGGGAAATTTGCTAACTCGGTAACCAGAAAAGCTGGAAGGCTGAAATTTTGAGGAAAATGTTCCCTGTCCAAGTGGAACTCAAATATTTCAAATTCAGCCCCCAGCTACGCATTGTACTCATATAAGGACGTATGAAATTTTCTGCGAGAAAATTACTAGCTCGGGAACCAGGAAAGCTAGGAAGCTGAAATTTTAGGGGAATGTTCCCTGTTCAAGTACAACTTAAGTATTGCAGATTCAGCCTTGTGGTATGCGTGGTTCTTAATTACGGATACTTAAAAGTTTTGGCGGAAAAATTTCTCACTGAACAGCTGGGTTACTTTTAAAGAACGACCGTTGAACGGAAATTGTACATTTACTTTATGCAAAATTTATGGTGATTTATACTAGTAACCGCAAAAGGTAAATATAAAACAACAACCATTCATGCAGTTAATGATCTGGGTACTTCAAGTCCGGTGCAAAAACGCATGTTTGCACGGGCCCGCCCGGTACGTTCCAGCCTGAGTTGTATTTTCATGGCAAGCGCAAAAACCCATATTATAGGGAGGGTGTCGATGTGTGTGTGTTCGAATTTTTGTCAACATATTCATCTTTGCAATTGAAGGAGCTAGGAAGTTGAAAATTTACAAGGACGTTCGTCTCCCACGTACCATCCAAACAGCTTAAAATCAACATTCGCTTCCATGTAGGTCTCAAGTACGCATGCCTAAAAAACATATGAATTTTTGGCGGGAAAACAATTTCGGGAACCTAACGGAATAATGAGCTGAAATTTCACGTGAATATTTCTTGCCCATATGTGAGTAAAAAATTTCAAATTCGGCTGTCACGCACGCTTACGTCAAGCACATAGGCAGGTCCTGGGAGGTGAGGGGCAATTGATCTTTCGCCCCTTCCCCCCAGCGGCACAGGTAGCAGTGTTAAAACTTTAGGAAACTCTCTTCCGCACTCCCTTTCCCAGGAGCCTCACTTCTCCCTCCCCCGCCCCTTCTCAGGAGGCCGCCCTGGATCAGCCTACGGTCAAGCATACAGACAAGACAAAGTTGAAATCCAGATATCGCTGGCAAAGTACCAAGTCGACGCCTAGCTGATTAGACTGTTCTAATTTTGCGAGAATACGTGTGGGCAACCAGCCGCAAAATAAGCTTTGGCGCGTGCATTTGTGGAGGGTTTTAGGATACTTAAAGGATTTTTGTTACCGAAAAGCGACATGACCAACCAGTTAAGCAAGGAAGCTGGAATTTTACGAAGGTATTTTGCCGTGTGCGACCGAAATATTTCAAATTCAGCTTTAAAGCGCTTCTTGGTCTCGTGTGCGCGTAAGTGAAAGTTTAGTTTAGGATACTTTTGGCACCCAATTAACTCGGTAGCAGGATTAAGCAGAAAGCAATATTTTTATGCAGGTGTTTGCCATTCATGTGGGCACCGATAAGCATAAGATGAGCTTCTCCCTAGGCATGGGCTCTGCGTATAGGCGCATCAGATGTTCAAATAGCAACGACGCGATTACATCCCAGTAGTACAGGAGATCTCTGTACAAGATGGAAACACGCAAAATGCATGACAGCACCAGCAAGTCCGCAGTATCATTACCTGGTTTGGCGCATTAAATCTTTCATTTGGCCATTAATGAATTCAGTACAGCAAGATACTACGATGGAACCATCCCAGCACTTCGAACCGAGACAGAGGGAAAACGCATAGGAAAGGCAAATCGACAAAATTTACACTCGAATTGCTTGCAGCGACTAGCCTGTAGAGCAGAGTGTGAAAACAGAAAGAATCATCCATCAGTGCAGAATTCAAGGCTGTACCGCAGACTCTTGGTGTCTCTTCGGCTTGATCAAATCACTTCTCCAATTATCGGCAGTTCTAATGCATTTGCTGCAGAAATTTAAAAAATAAATGTGAAAAAGCGTTGCTAACTGGCAGAATGTAGTTTCCAGCACGCTCAACAGCATAACATTACAATTCCAAGAACCTGGTATTCGACAAGTAACTGTAAACAGTACTTTTAGAATTCTTTGCCATTCGATATGAGAATCAGTTGGAGTTTTAGCAACAGAGCTTTTCTAGTCAGAGCAGCGAAATAAAAACGTTTGGGGGATAGTAATCATTTTGTCAGATAATTTGTCTATCAAATTTCTCGCACCAAAATTACTTGGAAACTGAATGGTAAGCAACTATTAAATTAAACAGCTTTTTTGAGGTCTAACATCTAATTTCTATCCACTAATTTAACAATTTCGGATTTCTGGTGAATTTTATTACTTCATCTATTTTTTAAAAGAGGCCAAAACCAATGGAATGAGTGACTGACTCACTTTCCGTTGACCTCGGTCCCATTAAGGCGTTGAGAAATGCGAACGAAATTTATCATCGAATCGGTTTTTTACGCGTCTTGTAACAAAAATGATGCTAAGGAGATGAGGAAGCAAAGCTCTAGCTCGATAAAGTTGCACGACACTGTATTTTAATAAACTTCTCTCCCGTGTGATCGAAGTTTTTTAAAAACAAAAAAGCGAACAGTGGGAGCTAATTCGCTGCGAATATTTCAGCACGTCTTCTTCCCCCTTTTCACCTTCTCCTGGTTAATAATTCATTAATTAAAAACTGGAGTGCAGTGGTCAAAGTGAATAACTGGCTGATCGATCACACGGGAGAGAAGTTTATTAAAAAACTAGCACCACGCAAACTGGAATTAGTGCACCACGCGCTTTTTACAGGGCATAAAACGATTCAAGTGCCCTCCGTCAGGAGTGATAATCGTTGTGCACATCACTACTCATAACACAACGGAGCATAACATACCCGCATACTCAGATAATGATGCGAGGCGATTATCACTGCTGTTCACACATCGGCACACGCTCTTGTATCACTCGGAACACTGCAGAAGATAATCCTGCATTATCGACGCAGCACCACTACTCCTATCGTAGATTCTCGGATGTGAGAAATGCAATCATTAGTAATATTTATCGAGTCAAAATCAAAAATTAAGACTCACTTTCCGGACTATTTTCTGTGGGAAAGAGAAGGCGTTCGCTATGGTCCTAGAGGTAGCGCACATTGCCAGAGGCAGCCGTCCGCTTTCAGCTCTATTCATAGCTCGAGGATTGCTTAGAAGTAAGCTGAACAACGATTTCGTCCTCCTCACTGCATTACATGCAGACTGCCGTGAAAGCAATGATGAATGTATACGAAGATTGTCAACAAACAGACATTCTCATTAAAATTGGTGATTATCATGGAAAAAGTTGAATAATAAGCTAACGAATGAGATGCACCAAAATCCATTATATGCAATGCTCGATAGGTGGACTTGATAGATAGAAGCTTATGGTTTTGATACTGCACAAAAAGCAAATTATTGGCTGAACCAAGTAGGAGAATTTGATGAATCTGTTTTTAGACGGTTTGGCTCTAGTTGACGCTTTTTTCTCATAACTCGTTTAATTCCAATTTTTTTAAATCTCCATTCTCTTTTAAGAAGACTGCTTAGGATTTGCTTTACTAGCTCAACTAGCATGAGGATGTGCGTTGTTTGGCGAGTTGAGATGCAACAGCTCGCCAAAGTGGGGCGAATCTCCAGTTCTAGAAACTCAGTGTTTAAATGTAGTAACAATTCACTGCCAAAAAACAATGTTTGATGTGTTCATTTGGAAGTTTTTTTTCGGCAAACTCCTTTTCTTGGAAGACCTCTCAAGAGAACTGATGCCAATTAAACAGGACGAGAAATGCAATTCATCGAAAATGAGCATGCGGGCTGTTATTGTAAAAAAAAGATCATCGATTTTTTTTTCCGCATTGGAGCTTGCCGTTGTCAAGAAAACTAGGTTTGTGTGC